TGGGGGTAGGGGGGTGGGGGAGGGGTGCTCCTGAGCCTCTGAGGTGCTCCCTGTGCAGGTTGCTCATGACCTGCAGCCTCTTCCAACCTTGGCTGCAGTGTGACCTCCTCAGAGAGGTGGCCCTGGCCATTTCATAATGAACAAGTCTCCAATCCTTTCAGTGTGCAACCATACTTGCTGTCCTCCGGCTTGTTGGTCCTGGTCCACCAGAGGCCCATGCTTGACTCAGGGTGTGACAGAGGCCGCTGGAGGCAGGCAAGGAGGCTGGCCTGGTGGCAAGGAGGAGGTTGGCCAGGATGGGAGAGGGCCCCTCCAGGCCTTGGGGCACTCAGCTTTTGGCTGGAGCCCCGATTTTGTGCCTGCCTTGGTTATGCCCAAGGCTAACTCGAGGCTGAGGTTACGGTAAGAACCCCACCAAGGCAAGGCTGACTTCCTTTCAAAGGGAACCTGACCACGGATGCCCCTCTTTGGTCATCTGGAAAGGGCAGGCCCAAGCCTGGCAGGTGCAGGTGTCAGGGACAGGCCCCAGGAAGGCCCCTGCAGCTGACCCCTAGGACGTAGAGCAGCTGCAGGCAAAGCCACTGTCCTTCAGAGAGAGGAAGGGACAGGAAAAGAGATATAGAAACATCAATGATGAGAGTCATTGATCGGCTGCCTCCTGCACACCCCCTGCTGGGGATCAAGCCCACGACCTGGGCATGTGCCCTGACAGGGTCTCCAGCCTTCATCTCCGGGATCATAGGTCGATCCTCAACCACTGAGCTACACTGGCCGGGCCCACTGTCCTTTCTTAACAGCTGCCTGGCAGGCTTGAGGACACTGGCCCAAGCCCCCTTAGACGTCATCTGCATCATAAAACTGCCCTCCGGTCCCTGCCTGTCCAGCTGCCCAGCTCTTTTCTCCAGACCACCAGCAGACCCTGACCACCCACTCCCTCTATTTTATGGAACCCACAAGGGCAAAGGTTCGGGTCTCACATCAGCTCCCAGATGTGACCTTAGAAGGGACCACATGGCAGACCCGAGAAGCTCAGTGACCAAAAGTAACCACACCGGAGGCTCTGATCGTAAGTTCCTAACTGCGCGAGTCAAGGTGGACAGTCCTGTCCCAGGTCTACAGCTTGCCTAGCAAAGGTCAACATTTCCCTTGGGCTCAAGGAGGACCACATACCATGGAAATGTCAGTCATCTCTCTTTCCAGGCCCCTCGCAGGCCCGGCATAACATCTCCACGTGAACCACCTGCACCCACCCATGCAGAAGCACGTGTCTCTCCGACCCGAGGTCTCCCCACTTTGCCTTTCCCCGTCCCCGGTCTCCCACAGATGGGTTCACACAACTCCTGGTTCTCCCCTTGGACACTAAGTGCATGAAAAGAACTGCCAGTCTTCGGGGCATTTCTCAATCCCCTGAGGTTCGGCCCACAGATGTGGCTCAAATAAACTTACGGAAATAGTCCACAGCTTTGGACTCTCACGGACACACAGGAGGTGCTCAGCGCACGCTGACGAATGAACGAAAGCGGGACCCTACCGGCCTCCCTTGGAAGAAGGTGCTCCTAGGTGTCTCTCGGACCTTCAGGTGGCGGGGCGAGGCCCGAGCCGGTGCGCGGACCCCCGCGGAGCAGGTGCAGGGACCCCCTAGGAGCAGGGGCAGGGACCCCCACGGAGCAGGTTCAGGGACCCGCGGCCGAGCAGGTGCAGCGACCTCCGGCGGAGCAGGGACAGGGGCCCCCGGCGGAGCAGGTGCAGGGACCCGCGGCCGAGCAAAGGCAGCGACCCCCGCGGAGCAGGCGCAGGGACCCCAGCAGAGCAGGTACCGGCCTCCACTGCCGCCGCGCACGCGCACACGCCCCAGAGCGACGCCTCGCTTCTGACGTCACGCCCCGCGACCTTCGGGAGAGCTGCCGCGGGCGCCCCCACGTTACGTTACGGCGCCGCCACGAAGCGTCTGGCCGAGGCCCCGCCCCAGTGACGTCACCGCGGACGCCGCCGGGCGCCGCCATGTTGGGGGTCCTCGCGGCGGGCGCGCAGGTGTCCGCATAAGATGCCGGCTCGGCGGCGGCGCCCGGCGTCTCCCCCCCAAGATGGCGTCCATGCGGGAGAGCGACACGGGCCTGTGGCTGCACAACAAGCTGGGCGCCACGGACGAGCTGTGGGCGCCGCCCAGCATCGCGTCGCTGCTCACGGCCGCGGTCATCG